GTAACAGTATATCCCAATTTGCTCTGTTGTTGTTTGGTTGCCTAGAAATGATAGAAAGGGAAGAGATGACAGTGCTTTTGAGTCTTGTTTGATATACTATTATTGTTTATTTTCAAGATTTGAAGTTTGTTCTTTATCTTGGGTTTTGAGTTCTTCAATATTTTAGCATTTGACATTTTGGTTCTTTACCCTTCCTACATGTATTTTTATAATAAAATGGATAGCAATATTACACTGAATGAGCATCACTTTTTAGCCTAAAACTTATTAAAAAAAAGTTAAAAAACTTGACAAATTATATAAAAAAGTCAAATTTTCTCACATTTTTTCATAAAAAATTAAAAAAAAAAAGTCATCCTAAACATAATTTTTTACTTCATATTTTAATTAAAAAATTAAAAATTACTGAAATAGCATGATACCAAACGAGGATTCCTTAAGCTATGTTTGGATCTTGCATTGTCATGGGAAAGGAAAATGAAACTGAAATTATATATATATACATATATATTTTCAATTTCTTCCCATTTTTCCTTTCTTTTTCTGTTCACTCCACAAATCCAAGATTTTTTTTTTCCCATTTTTTTGCTTTCCTCTTCATAATTCCAAGATCCAAACTCAACTTTAAATGGTTAAAGTAGATTAGTTCAATGTATTTGGTGTAGTTGAGGATAGCTCAAACATTAGTGGCCTGTCTTATTGGGCAGATTATAGCATAAGATTGAAATTCTTAATTATTGGGATTCACATTCTAGTGTTTGGTTGTAATTTTTGTTATTCGGATTAGGTTCCAATGGATATTCTATCTAATAAAAAAAAAAAAAAAACTCAATTGAACCAAATTGAGACAGAGTGATAAATTCATGGTTAAAATCGAGTCAATTGAAATTATAGGGAGTAAAATGACACAGGAAGTAACAGAATACATAGACTACCATTTTAATTTGCCCATTAAATAACTTTTGGAATCAACTTTTGAGTTTTTGCCATTTTGGTTGAAAAATTTTCAATGTGAAGAGCAATGACAGATATTACAAACGATGATTTGAGTTACTGGTTTGGATGTCAGTTGATTTTGACTATTTCTTTCATTGTAGCAACTTACAGAAAGTTCAACCTTGATGGAAATACGAAATTACAGGTATTAACACCATAGGCTTTTGCATTTGTAATTGACCCCAGAAATTTTGTTGGGTTTAGATGAATTCAAATACCTAAATCTTTCAGATAGATAATGTATTCAACATGAGATTCTTGTATCCTATCCAATTGAACAGGTGGTTGTTAGTGCTCCTACTTCAGGTTCTGTATCAGAAATAGATATGCAGGTCACTAATACTAGTGGCACCTTAGTTCTTCACTGGGGTGGGATACAAATTGGAAAAGAGTAAGTACACTTGTAAATATAATGATTTGCTTTGATTCAAGTTTTGAGCTATAGCATTAAAATGTTTTATGTTACTTTTGTCATTTTTTCACGCAGTTAGAATTATTTATTTTTCAAATTGCAAAACTGCTGGAATGGGAAAAGCTAACAAAGATAAAGCATCATCTGAATCTTATAGATTTTGGGGTGTTCTGGCTTGTCACTAGTCTGTCCAGTAATGCATCTAAAAATCCTTATTTTTGTCTATTCAAATTTGACCACGAAAAGCATGATCACTGACTTATTGATCTTGCAGCCTGTGGATTATGAGCCTCCATTCTTCAAAAAGTGCACAGAACAAGAAGCTCATAGCCCATGGACTAAAAATCCTTTGAAAATTGAGAGGTTGGGAATGTCAACAACAAACATTTTGTATTAGCTCTCAGGTAAAAATATAAGATTGCAGGAACACAGAGACACTTGGATCCCTTGTTCAAATTTTGAGTTTTGTAGTTGGAAATTATGCAGGTTAAGAGTATTCTTGATCCTTGTGAAGATGAAAATGATGACATTCAAGACGATGATGTGAGCTTAGGAGCTGATTTTGTACAAAGGGATGAGCATTCTGAATCTGTCAGTGAGGTACTGTGTTAACATTTCTTTACTGTTTGTTCTCCATGAGCTTCACTAACTGCTGAAAGCTTGATTTACCATATAGAACAAGTGTTTAGTTAACTACTTGTCAATTTGTAACCCACTTTGGGTTAGCCATTTGCAAGATAACCAATACATAGTCGCGCCAATAGGTAATTACATGTCTTTGTGCTCGGCTGTTTCAGCTTGTTTACATATTAGGTGTTTCCAGTTTTCTCTGAAGTTTGAAATGTGAATGACATTAGTTCTTTTGACAGATAAGCAGCAGAATTGTGATGATAATGGATGACATGGTTGATGAAGGTGATAACGACCCATGATGGGTTTCTTGATGCCAAAAGTAACCAGAGGCTAGGTATGTTCAGTCAAATTTTAAGTTCTATTTTTTTTAAAAAAAATTAAATGCTTTTTAAAGCATACCAATTGTCAATGACTTTTCAGGCTAGGCCCACTATGTATCAAGTTGTAAAGGAGATGGTTGACAAGATGGGCTATGCAGTAAGTTTGGCATGATTAGCAATGCCTCTATCTTTTCATACCTTGATTTCTCTTTTGTAAGACCTCCATTTGATATAACTGTTTGTTTCTTATGCAGGTGAAGGTTGTTCAAGTCACCAAGAGGGTACATGAAGCATATTTTGCTCAGTTATACCTAACAAAGGCATATTCCTGTTACAAGCTTGTATTTTGTTTGACTAATATTTTCCATAAAACTTGCTTTAATAGTAATATTTAACTGATAAAGTTTTGTTTTTTTTTTTTAAAAATCTCAGTTGGGTAATGAAACGGAAAGTGTTAACTTTGATCTTCAACCTTCAGATGCCATTAACATTGCAGTAATATGCAAGGTACTTTTGCTCATTTTGAAGATTGTTACTGCTTTGGTGGATTTTTGAGGTTGTTTATCGTCATGTAGTCCTCTTATCTAACATAGTTTTAATCACTGCTCTCTCACTAGATAGCATTATATAATGGTGTTGGATAAACATAATGTTATTTGCATGCAAAACTGATAGCTGAGTAATACTGTGAGATGCAACAAAGTGTACAATGAAATAGAAAAGAAAATGACTTCTGGGAAGGGTATGTGTATTGGGGGTGATGATGACTCAAAAATGAGTGACGAAACAAAAGAAGAAATGGCAAAGAAAATTGGGAAATAAGGAAGGAAAAGAGAGGATAGTGTCCCCCAAGTTTAGGTGGGTTTGTGGACCCCATTTTGAAATTAATGTTTGGGGGATTGGTGAACTGCCACAGTTCTTTCAAAGGAGAAGTTATTTGTTCTCGGGACATCGTTATGTGGTATTTTAATAATATTGTGATTGGTAAAAATAATAGAATTTATGAATTTATATTAAATAATTAAAAAATATAAATAAATATGATAAATTATGATTAAAACTAAGTAATAATTTTTCCTTTCAAAGAGTCCCACAACATGGAAGCTTGTCCCTTGGTAGAGTGCATTCAATTCTATACTTTTCCCATTCACAAGCATTTAATTCGGGATGTTGTCATACTCTCTCTTTCTCTCTCCACCTGTATCTCTAACACAATAAAGACCACATACGCAGTGAAAAAAATGCATATAACATAACTTTGTTATTTTAATATAGTGAGAGGTAAAATTTTCTTTTAATTATTAATTTACGTGATTGAATTAGCAATTCGAGTCTCTCAAATTAGAATGCCAATTCCACGATGGAGGAGGAATTAATAGTCTTACAACTGATTTTTTTATTTATTTATTATAAACAAACATGATTTTAGTAAGACTTACGGATTGCTAAATTAATTTCCTTCTTAAATCTCCAATCAAACATGACCTTTAAGGTCTAAATTTAATTTCATGGGATTGGTTGTTTCTACATGGATTGGAAGAATCGACTTTGGATAGGTCATGAAAAGGTCAGAAGTTTGCTTTTGTGTAGGTAATATATTGCACTGAATTTTTGAAACAAATCACAAATGGTAAAAACAGAGGAGCCTAGTGGTAACCCTACCCATACCAAGTTTTTAAAAAGGTCCCCGACCACATGCCCCAGATTTTAGGGGAAGCCGAGGTGCCTTGCCTCGGAGGTAAAATCACTTATGATCTCATTTGGGATAGGTGGAAATTAATTTTAGGCCAAATTTCACTTTATTTATTTAGGCCAAATTTTAGGCCTCAGAGCATTTTTTTTTATCCCAAAAAAAAAAAAAAACTATCTTTTGAGTCCTAAAAAATATGACAAAAGTATATATGGTTGTTTATGTATAAGAATATTTTAGTGGTTTTACTCCAGCAATTAATTGTTCAAACAGTTCACCTTGATACATACATAAACTATATTTTTAAATGTTAGAATAATAAAGTGCACATAAAAAGAATCAATACAACCCATGTCTGAATTTTTTCTCGGCCATTGGAGGCATTGTCGAAAAAGCTAAAGGCAAAAACCCTAAGAAGTTAAGCTCTTAACCTATTGCTGCCACTATGTACTTATCTCTCTATTATACACACACATCAATTTTATGCATTATGAAAATACATACAGATGTGTACACTTATTATGCATATGTGGACATTTAAACATACACAAACACTGACACTCAAGTTCATGCACAAGTTTCTCAAGATGACTGTGAAGCAATGATAATTTATCAGTTTGGATGATGAGAAAATACAGGAAAGAATATAAGAAGTTGGAACTTGAAAGTTTGTAACAAATTGGGTTTGCAATGATTGTTTTAGATTCCATGGTTTATTTAATAACTGTAGAGGATATCTCATCCTCTTTTCCAATTTGGGTTTTGCAATGACCTCTTTTTTGGTTTTCCTCAGGAATCAACTATTTGAGAATGTCTGATTGATGATTGTCAATAGTTTGATATTCTTCCATACTTTTGAAGTTTTTTTTCTATTTTTTGTTTTTTTCTAATTTATATGCAGGCTATTAGCCCGTGAAGGAATCAATGCAGAGCAGTTTGCTCGGGATCTTAAATCTTTTCAATTAAACGTTATTCTTTCATATCATCAACTTGATGCATAATTTGTTCTTCTCATTGACTGCCACTTATGATATTTATCTTAGAGTAATTCATAGTTTTGTTAAGTTGAAATTCTGTATCAAGTGAATCTATTCGTACCATGGATTTCCAGAATTTTGTCCTCTTTTTTTACTTCTTTTTTTTTTAATTTTTTTTTTAATTTTTCACTTAGTATTGTTTATTTATTTATTTTTTATCCATCCTCTTATATTTTAACTTTCTTCTTCAAGATGACTTTTGAAGATGTTTTCCCTGCTGAGGCAACAATCGTGGAAGAGTATCTGCAATAGGTAACTTTCATTCATTTTGTTTCTTATTGACAACATAATGTCAAAATATTGATACTCTAGCGCTTGCTTTCTTGCATTGTTGTGTGTAAATTTTTGCTCACATTGATCGACGGAAAGAAGATTGTAAATTTTGGTTTATATTGCAATACAGAGAAAATAGTACTTCCTTCCCATTCACTTTGTTGTGTGCCATGCCCTGGAATACCAATATATCAGTTATTGTGCATTACAAAGACAAATAAAGTAGTTTTAACTTTGGTTGTCATTTATATGTTTATTTGTTTTTCTGCAAGCCATCATTTGGAGCTTAGTATTTTTTATTTTTTTTGAAAGACTGAATATGTATAAAATATGTATGTATGCATATAAAGTTTGTACATCAAAGTAGTTAGGTAGGTCAAGACCCAGGATGAACTTTGTGATTGGTGTTTTCCATGATAAATTGTTCTATTTAAGCATTCAATATTCTTTATGAACACTATTGATTTTATTCAGTCACAGAATGTTACAGGTGAACTATGAAGCAAATGGTTGGGTTGCACATCAGGTGTCAGATATATGGGCAAAAACATCTCCTGACTGAGGTCAGGCTGTTTGGGCTTTATGGCAAATGGGTGGAGCATGGCTTTGTACTCATCTATGGGAGGATTATACTTGTACTATGGACAAAGTAAGATTTGCTTATGCTTATAATGGGAGCATTATACTTATACTTGCTGGGCTATTGCTGTTGTAATGTTGCTGTGAGGCAGCTGCTACTAGATTTTGGTCTGCTGGATAAGTTTGTGGGTGATTTTCATGCCGTTTTGCCTGTCTTTGTTAGTTTCATGTTTTCATTTTGTTATCTGTTGTTTCTAATGTGGGTTCACAATTTGGATGTATTTGGGCATTTTAATGACTTTACCGTTTTAGGTTTTATACATTGCTTTTAAAAGCAGTATTAGTAGTGTTTTTTTTGCTTGCACCTTAACTTTAGGTGATTTCATATCAATGTTATTAGTTTGTAATAGTGGTGCCTGAGGGATGCCTCTTGTAAATCTGTAAATCTTATAAAAATATATAAATTATTTTCAATTATTTTTGTTAGTAAATGTGTAGCCAAAGTTTATTTTTGCCCACTCATATTGTATTGCTAGAAGTGTATTTTTTGTCAATGCCAATTTGTCGTTGTCAAAAGTAAACATTTATCGACAAACAAATCGTCGGCAAATGACAATATTTAACGACGTAAATATGTTGCTAAAAGTTTACTTTTACCCACTCATATTGTGTTGCTAAATGTGTATTTTTTGCCAATGTTAATTTGTCGTTGCCAAAAGTGAAGTTTTATCGACAAACAAATCATAGGCAAATGACAACATTTACCGACGTAAATGTGTCGCCAAAAGTTTGTTTTTGCCGACGCATATTTTGTTGCTAAAAGTATATTTTTTGCCCACGCAAATTTGTGTCGCGAAAAGTACCGTACAATCATCATCTTTGAATGACTTTTACCGACGCAAGGTAAATTGCCGACGATGGATGAAGGCTTTTATCGACGACTATGTTCGTCGCTAAAGGCATTACTTTTACCAATGCAATGATAATTTCGTCGGCAAAAACTTTTGCCGACTCACTTTTGCCTATGGGTTGCCAACGTAGCTTGGTGTGTCGGTAAAACTCTTTGCCGACGAATTTTCCCTTTTAGCAACATATTTTGTTGCGTTGCGAAAAATGCAATTTCTTGTAGTGAATTATGTGTGTCGGTAAAACTCTTTGCCGACGAATTTTCCCTTTTAGCAACATATTTTGTTGCGTTGCGAAAAATGCAATTTCTTGTAGTGACAACAGGGATACCAAACAAAAATCCTTTGGTGAGAGTTAACACGGTTGACAAGTAGGACCGGCCGCACCAAAGTCTTTGCCCAACTGGGGGCAAAGTGGGTTGGCAGGTTTGACCAACTCTTTTTAAATAAATCTTTGCCCGATTAGGGGACAATTAAGAAGGTTGGCAAGTTTGAGCAACACTTTTTTCTTTCTCAAGCCGAGATAAGGATCTAGGCTCAAGAAGGTTGGTAGGTTTGACCAACACTTTTTATTCTTCAGCCGAGATAAGGATCTAGGCTCAAGAAGGTTGGCAGGTTTGACCAACACTTTTTCTTCCTCTAGCCAAGAAAAGGATCTAGGCTTAAGAAGGTTGGCAGGTTTGACCAACACTTTTCATTCTTCAGCCGAGATAAGGATTTAGGCTCAAGAAGGTTGGCAGGTTTGACCAAACTTTTTTCTTCCTCTAGCCGAGATAAAGATCTAGGCTCAGGAAGGTTGGCAGGTTTGACCAACAATTTTTTCATTCTTCAGCAGAGATAAGGATCACGGCTTAAGAAGGTTGGCAGGTTTGACCAACAAAATTTTTTGGATTCTTCAGCCAAGATGCGTACCTCAGCCAAAGCAGGTTGGCGGGTTTGACCAACGATTTTTTTTACACTCTTTGACCAGGATAACAGTTACCTCAGCTAAAGCAGGTTGACAGGTTTGACCAACAAAATTTTGAACTCTTTGGCCGGGATGATAGTTACCTCGGCCAAAGCTGGTTAGCAAAAAAATTTTGAATTTTTGGACCGAGATGGTTATCTCGGCCAAAGAAGGTTGGCAGGGTTAGTGTAAACTGAGTTAGTCTGCTTGGCGAGACACAGAAAGACAACTAGCCGTACGATTGGGAACTCAAAGGTTATATACATTGAAAGCAAAAATATGGGGCTATTCATATTTTTGGGCAGTGTGAAACGGCTGGCATAGTACGAGGGGGCAATCGGCGCATGCCACGTGTCCTGGTAGGGACATGATGTTAGACTTATGGGACGACAGGCTGTACGACCGGCGCAATTTCAGGAAGTGAGCAAGTTTTAGCTCGGCTGGAATCATTATTTCAACTCGGTTGGACTTGGGTAGCTCGGCTGAAAGTTAATAATCCCAATCATGCTTTGCAGATGGAATTAAGGGGTAATTGAGAGGGTAATTTGTATAGCCAAACTGGGCCGAGCTAGGAAGCATTGTTTCTGAATATTAGGTCACACTGTGGGCCAAGTTACGAGCTCGAGGTAGCTCGGTGTGGGAAAATTGGTTAGTAGGCCGGTCAGTGAGCTCCAATTGCGGTCAGTGGGCAGGCCAAAGTGCAATGTCGGCTACATATAGGAAGCCGAGCTAGAAGTAGCCCGGCCAGAAGGATTCAAAGCAATTGGAAATCGTGCAGCCCGGTCAGGGTATTTGCGCCAGATAGCTCGGCTAGGCGTAGCGAACCGAACAGGGTGACAACTATCTCACTTGGTTGGCAGTGAATAAGGTGTTATCAGAATATACATTATACTTGGGAATGTAATTCCTAGGAGGACTCTGCTAAGGAGAGTAGAGTCCTACAAGGATTGTGCAAACCATCTCACTTGGTTGGTAGTGAGTAGGGTCTGTGATTCCTAAGAGGACTCTTATAAGGAGAGTTAGTCCTATTAGGATTGTGCCAGGTGGAATCTATAAAAGCTCATGACAGGACCTATGTACCGGTATCCCAGTTCTCACTCTAGAATATATAGAGCTTTTGTGTCTATTGTCTATTTGCTGACTTAGGCATCAGAGAGGTTTCCGGCACGCACCCACCCACCGGCTAGCTCACGTTTGTGTTTTCAGGTAGCAAAGCGATGACGTTTGGAGGAGTGCAAACTTAATCAACAGGATTATACGAGAAGATTATTTCGTGCTCGTACAATGTTCTTGTTCATCTTATTCCTTGTTAAATTGGGTTGTGTGAGCATTGTGGTTGCGTTTGAAACAGGTTGAAAGTTCACTTTTTCAAAGGAGTTATTGCTTAGATTTTGGTCAGTTCACTTGAGCGGTCCTTTGATCGCTCGAATGGTCTTTGAGAACTTCCAGTATATTTGTAGGTCTACAAATATACTGGGAGGGTGGTGTTTTTCACTTGAGCGATGTTTCTTGCACTCGAGCGGTCTTTCTTGCGCTCGAGTAGTTAGCATCTGTCTGCAAAACTTTTGGGAGAGTGTCATTATGCACTCGAGTGATAACTTGGTTCACTCGAATGGTCTCACTTATTGTGTCTAGTTGCTCGAGCAGTGTTTTGGTCGTTCCAGCGGTCTGCGTGTATATTAGTTTGTAAAAGTCACTTTTTGAGTTATTTTCTCATCTCTCTCTCTGTAAACATTTCAAAAACCTAGATATACTTCCTTTCTCTCTCTAGAACTCATTTTCTACCCTCAAATACACATTCATCCATTGATCTCTACACCCTAGTCCATTTGATAAAATGGTAGAGCTCACCTAGAGTTTCATTCTAATCAGAACAAAGTTGATTTTCGGCTTCGCCAAGGTTTCTTCACTCTCTCTCTTGCTTTCTAGCTTTGATGCAGGGATTTCTCTGCATTTTAGTATGGTTTTTAACTTGGTTATTTGTGTATTTAAAGAAATCTTGAAATTTGAGGATTTTGGATAAAATCTAGGGTTTGGTTTTGAAATCAAAATAGGGGTTTTCAAATGGGTGCATGGAAAGGATTTGGGAATGTATTTATGATTGAGTTGTGAAGAAATGATGGATTTTGTTCTTTAGAATTGATTTATAAAGAAAAGGGGATTTTGCCCTAAAATCTTGGATATTTGATTTGTTAAAAGGAAATGGAAATGATGTTGGGTTTTGTGAAATTGGAATGATAAGGATGATGGTGGTGGAGTTGGATATGTATTATCACTCTTATCTCGAAATTTTGGAAAGTATATCTTTAATATAAATTATATTTTGTTTAGAGATATTTGTTTTCGGCTATCGGTAGATGATAACTATGATTGTTGTAGAAATTATATGAGAATTAGGTGAATTAAAACTAATTTCTCATCCATTTGTATTGCGCATTGTTACATATTTAACACATTGAAAATGGTTATTGTTTTGAGAAAAATAGGTAAACACCTTGGTGAATTTGGGTAGGGGGTGTGGTTGTGGTATTATGTTGGCCTGTGTGTCCTTAGTGAAAGTTCATAAACCCGCGCGGTTAGGTGCCGAGCCTTCCAATTAGTACCGGTAAAAATGACATTGGTAGTGCTTGTATAGCCTACTAGCAGACGCGTACCTAGAGATTCCCAGTGTTTGTAATCACTGCCTTGTTTTTCTGTTGTTCAAGAAATGTTTTCATGAATTGTGATATAAACCTGGTATTGCATGGTTTTGGAAAGAGATATAAAATATTTTGACACAAGCATTGCATATGCATTCACCTTATAGATTTGTTAAGATTCATACACTGTGTTAGAGTATCTCTATTGGGTTTTGGGTCACCCAATGTGGAAAAACTATTTTCAGGTGCTGGTAATATGCCTCCGCTAAGGTCATAGCATGGGAGGACTTGGAGCCAATAGCTTCTTTTGTTATTGTTGTATTTATTTTTGTACAAGCCTAGGGCTTTATTGTATTGAGTTGAAACTTACTTTAATTTTAACCAAGTATCATCTTGAAAAGTTATAGCCATTAGGGCATTTATATATTTGTTTAACATTTATTTCATATCATTAACTTGTGGCACATACTATAGATTCAGGGTTAGGATTTATGAATGTATAACTGCATATGTTACCTTTTGTACAATGGAATCATATAAATGGAAGAATAATATATTCAGAAGTGTATTGTTATTTAATAATTGTCATGGGATGAATTATGGTTATTATTTTGGGGCGTTACATATAGATTATAAGATTAATGATCAAAATAATCCAAGCTAGAGTACTATAAAAAATGAACAAACCATAACAATAATGTATCACTTGAATATGACAATTTTCATATTAGTTGGCAAATTACTAATCAACTTGTTTTATCCAACCTGTCAATCAATACATTTAATTTTTCTCGTTACATAGTTGACTTAATTAAAAGATTATCAATTTTCAATATAAGATTTATCAATT